AAATGACATCGTTTTGTTGCTTTAGGGCAACTCTCAGCCTTGCGCATGGGTAAATCATGTAAAGAGGGTCTATATTTTGTACAAGTTTCGTTAGGTCACTTAATTAAAATATTATATTAATATTTCGAGTCTGCATTTTAATTCATATTCTATTTTAGTCCTCATCTATTAGCTATTTTTTGTTTATTCTTTTCACACTTTTAGCTGTTAATTTTGCATATTGATCATTTCAATCCCTAAAATTACTGAGATATAATCTTGTGAAATTTATAGGTGCCATATTATATTTGGTCTCATATTCCTTTAATCACTATTTAGTGCCTTTGTACTTGTGGTATATTGCTCATTAGATCCTTGTTATTCTGTTTATCATCTTAAAATATTACGTGAGTTTTTTTTATGATTTATCCATATATGTGTGCAGTAATTTTATTTGTGTATTTATGTCGTATGTTACATTGTTATACATGATGTGCATGGTTTCTTTATATATTGATTAACTATTTTCACCTTATTTATTAACATTAAAATTAATTATAATTAGATGTGTGTTTATTTATTGTTTAATCATCTTTATGTATATATATATATATATATATATATATATATATATATTACGTGCTTAACTACATGTTTACTATAAGCATTTTTCTGTGCTTTATGCATATTGTTTTGATACATTTCGGCCTTATATTATACTTCTATGCATATTAATCTTGGAAATTTAATAATTTATTACTATTATACATTTTATTTATTACTTAAATATTACTTGCATATTTTTCAAGAACCCCGATTTGTGGAATCAACGTGAAAAACTTTACTTGGTCGAAGTAATGCGATCCAATACGGCATTTTAACAAAGTGTGAACTTGAAATAAATTTTATCTTGTTAATTAATTCATTTCGTACTTTAAATTGGATGACACGATGCATGTTTTTCTAGATGACAATTTATTTTATTTCATGCAAATGTTTATTGTCAGTTTATATTCGATTCATATTTTTTCATATTTGAAGGTAGAATATTTTTTGACGAATGATAAATGGTTGAAATAGTTTTTCGATGGAGGATCGCAAACTTCAAGATTTCTCATTAAGTTAAAAGATTTTCTCTAACAATAGTTAATTCAAAGCAAATTAATCAAATTTTAATAAATAGATCATATTTTAACTTTTTCTACCATTAAGACAACGTGTAAGCGATCCAATACCAATTTTGGGCGTTGTGGGGCATTAATCATTCCCCACGCGTAACCGTCTCCTGAACCCTTTAAAATGAACCTCTGGTAACGCAGACCAATTTTATTTTTAAAAATGATTTTTTCTTAAAATTGTTTTAAAAGACGTTTTTAAGTATTCGACCTACCTAACTCAAAGGTCGATGACAACTCATTTTCAATTTAATTCCAATTAATCAAAAATCACCGAATTTTCTAAAATAAAAGTCGTATCTGTTTTTTTTAAAACAACAAACAATTCTTCTACCTGAAAAATGGTTATTACATAACCCTAATCTCAAGTAAAAAGAAAACCAACCATCAATCATATCAAACACCACCCTTCTTCCTCCGATTCTCATATCTACATATACAACTCAACCCTACCAAGATCTCCACGATCGCAGCCTCCGTTTTCTCCAAATCCGAGAAGTATAACGTTTGCAGCATCAAACCCGTGGGCTTTGCATCCAAGTTTCGTTGCTCCAAGTTCCTCTCCTGCTGCCACCGCAAGGTATCACGCGCCACCGGAGCCAACTACCCTAATATCTCCTCCAACGCCACTTTCCACCTCTGTGCCAAACCCTGCAGCCCTTCCCTTGCTTCTGCATCTCGAACATGTACTCCCTAGCGCCTTTACTCATCGACGTCGTCGTCGTCGAATAAAAGTACGTTTCGGCCATTATGATCACGTTTGCGTAACGAAGGGCAAGCCCCGCAGCTCCCACGGTGCTCTCCGGCGCCGAATGGATCAGCATTCGGTTGTTCCCTCGATGCTTTTGTTTTTGGTGATTAGTTTATCGGTGTTGGTGATTGCCGAAAGTCGAAAAACGGAGCCTTTATCTTCATTTGATTTGGGGCTCGGATTATAGTGACGTCTAATGGGATATCGGTTCTTGGTGATGCTTGGAAGGGTTGTATCAAAGGGTCCAAAAATGGTGCAAATTCGGACGAAAAGGACGCACACGATTCGAGCCATTAACCCAATGATCTTATCGTTGAAGTAGTTAACGTTGTTGCGGCTAGTACCATTTCGCTTCCATTTCTTCATTTTTCTCTCTGATATTTCCATTTCTTCGAGGTATACCAAAGATGCATACAACATGGATTATAGCTAGCGTATTTCTCCATTTGCTCGATGATTTTAACGACGTGTTTGGAGTTGAAATCAAGGTGTTGGGCATCGATGATACCCTGTTTCATGTTATTATACGCGATGTAGAACTTGTTTAGTTCCCCGTCGATGCATTTTTTTGCCCAGAAGCGACACGATGGCGGCGGCCTGGTCGAGATTCTCGAGCATCTCTTTGCACGCGAGGCCACATAGATAGGTTTCATCGTCGGAGTTCGGAGTGGCAACGCATGGAGATTTCATGACACCTTTTCCAAATTTAAGTAATTCATCATCCGAAAAAGATTTGTAAAGGGCGACGAGCGGACCATGCATTTGGCTGTCTCGAAGGCTGGGATTTGAAGCGTTGGGGAAGAAGAGGAAGAAGAAGATTTGGGTTGTCGGAAAACATAGGTTTTGTTTGAAGCCTTATTTACAGCTGCAGGTCGCCACGCCATGGTTGGTTTTTTAGGGATTTCCAGCGTTGGAATTTGCTAGCTTGGGGTGGGGTTGTTTTGTTTAGCTTCTTCATTGCCTTCCCAAGAGATGAAAAACCATAGAAGCACAAAGCATGGCTTTTCTCTTTTATTTTATTTTCCCCCTTCGGATATAGGAGGAAGGGCTAAAATTGAGAATTAAGAAAACTTACTAAAAGCGCTAAAATTGGGTTGATTAATTTATTAATTTTGGGTTTCTAATAAATGTAAATTTAAAACGTAAATTATCAAATTTATGGTGAGAGATAAGGTTTTTATTGAAATTAATATGTTGCATTTTGATTGTAGGAGAAAATAAAATTTGGAATTTATTGAGCGTATGAGTAGGGATGGGCATGGGTCGGGTTTTTGGTCTACCCGACCCGAGAACAAGGAGTCCTCCACTCAGACCCGACCTGACCAAAACAAGTTTTCACCCGACCCGATATATAACTTAAAAACAACCCGACTCGAAATAATAAAAAATTATTTTTATTCAATAAAAACAATGACTTAATTAAAAAAATAATATATAGAGGGGCATTATTGTAATTATTCATAAATATATATATATAAGGTAAAATTATATATTTTGGGTCGGATCGGATATTTTTCACCCTAAACCCAAACCCGACCCGACCCGAACTCAAATTTTTTTAAAAAATCCGACCGGATCGGATCAATATCTTTGAATTGATATGCGTGAGTGAGTAAATTGAGCTAAATTTAAACCCAATCAAATGAGAATTAGGCTCAAATACACGCAAAGAAAGGAAAAATAAAAGCGAAGGAAAACAAAAAAGCCGCTACTTAAAACTACAATTGCTTTGTGCATGTAAAGGTTATTTGATTGTTTTATACTTCATATTTATATTTATGTTCAGAAGATTAAATTATAAATAATTTTTTGGAAAGGTATACAGTAATTAGGGATAATCAAAGAGAGTATGCGGGATAATTATTTTCTCTAAAATTTTAAATGTCGCATAATATAAATTTTTGTTATTTTTTTATTGATGATCTATTTTTGTTATTATAATTTTTTATAAATTTTTTATCTCTTAAAATTTAAAAATTCGTTCTCTGGCATAACATCCTACCTATGTTCTTGACTGCAACTACTGTATATTGCCCATATGGCCAATCCAGGAAATAGATTTGATATAAAGGTTAAGTTTGTAGTTCATACACAAATATATAAATTTACATATTAATAATGAATTATATTAAGACACGTCATTAGTTGTGAATAATGGGTGCTTTATAATGTGCTTGAACCTTTAGGCTGAAAATACATGGATACACAAGGGTGAAATTATTTTAGAGGGCCCAAAATTTAATTATATTTCTAAATAGTTTAAACGTATTTTTATTAATTTATAGTTATATAATTTTAAAAGAAATAAAATTGATTACTTTTAGGGGGTATAAAGTAATTTCATCGTAATACTAATTTAAAACTTTGCATTGTTAAGAAAATTTTCATATGCTTGGACCCTGCTCCTCCTTAGATACGCCCTCTCTATATATGGTTATGTATTTAATGCAATGACAATATTTTTCTTTTATTTGAATAGTTTGAAATGATTAGAAGGTACTATATGTCTAAAATTTCTTAGCTTATTGATAATGCACATAATATGTAGATACATTTATTCGAGTTCAAATTCTAAAAGTATAATGTTTTTTATCATGGAGATCACTTAATGAATTTTATGCAATGATAACATAAAAATCTATATAGTAATAATGAATCGTATACATATGTTTAAGATAAAAATCCATAAAAGTAATATAAAGAATTTTATTTTATTAACTAAAAGTTTTTAATCGTAGAGCTGTGTAGTTTACGATCAATGTAAACTTATTTACTAGAGAGCATTGAATATAAATCCATTTTCATCAACTCCATATGATCTCTTTGGCAAAGTTAAGCTTTTGTAACCTCAAATATACGTATATCGGGTGAACAATCATCATGTATATTAGACATATGGCCATAATTATGTTTCAAATTCTTAAACTATTAGCTTGTATATGAAAACAATACAAAGGATCAGATTACTGAACCAAATATTTATTTGCATCAATCATTTTTCACAACTGATCAACTGCGTCAAAGAAAACATAAGAGAAAGAAAATAGGGAAACCTTTTTCTATTATTTGGATGTCAATCAAAGCATCATCTCCATCACTAGTAAATACCATTTTCACAGTTTTCTCCTCCGAAAAACAAAAAGCAATCAGCTCAAGAGGGTCGGGAGTCGGGTCCTAATCGGAGCTCAAGATCCAATTCTATCCGAGACGAGGAACCCGAATTCTCTTCAACGCCATCTCTTCCCCTGCCGGAAACTTTACAAGGCTTTTAGGGCTGCAACTTTTCTTCTCACTAGATTCTAATATGATCTCTGAAATCCGATAACGATCCTGAACTCGATCGAGTTCCGTGTTCATCGTCTTTACCGTATCCAAAGAAGGTAGGTTTTCTTCGGAAGACTCCCTGAGCTTGGCCCTATCTCTTCTGTGGACGTTCATATGACCTCCAAGAGCTTGAGCATTGGAGAACCCTCTTTTGCAGAAAGAACATGTGTATGACTTGGAATGGCTTGAGACGTCTTCTTCTTCCAAGGACCAAACTGTTTGGTCGGATTTTTCTGCTTTTTCGTTCCTTGTCCCCATTTTCTCTATGAAGAAAAGGAAGAAAGGGGCTAAGGGAGAGTCAACTCGAAAGGGTTTGTTTTGTGATGTTTTTAATTAGTGGAGTACTTAAAAGCTCCTTACATGCATGAACATTCAACAACATAGTTTTTTTTTATGTCCCAACAATAATCTCATTGACCATAACTACCATAACGTTTTATCAATAATTGAGTTATTTATATTTAATAAAATGTCAGATGTTTTTTAGTCTAATATTGTTAAATATTTGAATCTGCTAATATTTAAATTTAACTAGTTCTAAAAAAATTGAAGATATAAAATTTAAAAATCAAATAGATAATAGTTTTAAGTGTATAAATCCAAATATATTATTTATCAAAATAAAGCATATTTGAATAATGGATATTTGAATTCAAATATGTTATGGGAAAAATAAATTTAATTTATGAATATCCGAAAACTAGTATGTACATCAGAAAATATTATTTTGAGAAAATAAATTTTATTTAAAAATATTAAAATAAAATTGGAACTATTTAAAAATTAATTGACACCTTTAATAAGAAATTGATACTCACGGTTTATCTTTAACTATTCTAAATTTTGAAAGAAGCAGAACAGTAGGGTATACATGACGGCTTAAAAATAGTTTGGATGAGAGGAGAAAGAAATGTGATTTTGGAATCAGACAATAAAGAAGCTGTTAACCTTATCAAAAATAGATCGATTGAATACAGGAAATTAACAATTCTTCAACACATAGAGAATCTGATAAGAAGAAATTGGATAGTGGACCTTAAGCACATACCAAGGGAGGTCAATCGCGTTGCTGACTTTGTCGTCAAACAGATGTGGAAGCACCAAGAAATACATTTTTCTGCAAAATTACTCAAAGGAAGCTGAGGAGTTACTATTAGCTGATATAACGGGCAGTTAGGTGGTCCATTCACCTGTATTCAAAAAAAAAAAAAACTACTCTAAATTTTAATATCACAGTTTAAACTTTCTAATTTACTTATGTGTGCATCAACTCTGAATCAACTACAAATAATAATTAAAAAATCAAAATAACAAAATAGAAAATGAAGACATTCATGAGTTTACCTTATATTTGGATCAGCATTAATTATTCATTATTATCTCTAACATTGACAGTACAATGCATAATCCTATCATGCGGTACAAAGTGTAATTATTTCTCCTTATTTTTAAAAACTTTCAAAACAAAATAATTTTATTTTGTAATATTTAAAGCAATGATGTTTTGAAATATAATTATTATATTAAACATAGTTTTAGATTTTATTGACAAATCACATGATAAAAACGTTGAATTTATGCTACGTGGAATCAGTACTATGCTTAATATTATTGTTTACTAATAATTCAGTTGACCTAACTAATTATAATATTATAATTATGTATGAATTAATAAATGATTTAATGGACAACAAATACCGTTGAACCCACCAAACTTAGGGGTACATTCATAACTATATGTATATCAAACATAATATTATTAAATAAAGATTAAATATTAGAAAAAAAACCAAATTGTTTTCTATTAAAAGAATAAAAATGAATTAAGTATTTAAATATAAAAATTAAGAAAAATAAAATTATTTATTTAGTATTTAAATTTAAAGTAATATTATATACAAAATTGAAGAATACTATAACCCTTCTAATCTTTTAATGATTTAGTCCCAGAATCAAAAGTGTAACACCCACAGACTGATGCGCGTGACCTGATCCGATCCGAGGTGTCACATTAGGCCACCGGAGCGACCTACAGGAAAAATCTAAAAATTTTAAAATTTCTGTTAAAACGCGTCAAATCATAAAACAATTTGTAATTAAAATACAAGTTCATACTCAGTATAAAAATCAAATGTGACATACATGCCCCTTAATTACACTTGTACCATACTCTTCAACCCAAGCCAACGAAACTCACATTACAGATGTCGATATCTACACTGGATCAATTCTTTTAACCTAAAAAGGAGAGTAAAAGAGTAAGCTTTGGGAAGCTTAGTAATATAGAACTTCCAAGTGATGTTGAAGGACATGCAGATAAATGGAAAAGCATAAATTTTCCTTGTTGATTTATACGTCTACAGATTTTTGGAATGAACTAAGGTTCCACTGATATTTCTCTGAGTAAAAGACATGAAGATTTCAGTTTACAGGAAACATTCAGAGGACCAAGTTCAGGAGATTAGAATAGGATTTCTAGTGTGTTCTAACAAAACATAATAATGTATATAAATCCTTTAAAAACATTAGTAGTTTAAAACATATTTTAAAAACATAATAATACCCTCCAACCAAAAACCGTTATGCAATTCCCCATAAATGCATCCATAAGGACTTACACTAAGCACACAATAAATGAGCCACCTTAAGGGAGTACCTTAGGGCCTATGGGGCCTACCTAAGGGTCTTCTTAGGTTCGCAAGGAATTACCAGCTTGATCAGATCTAAACCTCCATACTCAAGAATCATACCCATACAGTATCCAGTAGAAATTAGATTTAACAGTAAACTATAATATCATGATCCAGTAAAATCTCGTAAGAGTAACAATGAAATAAACCACATAACTACCCTTCACCCATACGTCATATGTAGTCCCATGATTTACCCAAGGGAGTGCCTTGGGGCCTGAGAGCCTACCCAAGAAAGTTTCTCGGGGCCTCGGAGCCTACCTAGATAATGTCCCAATAAAACAATTCAAGTAGTAACCAGTAGATCCCATGATCCATAAATCAGGAACGATTATATTTTCCAATGAAAACAGGTAATCATAGAACAAGTACCATGTAGCCATGATTCATAAGCCAGTAAATCATAAATTCCGGTGAAACGCATTTCAAAATAGATAAAACAGTCATGTAGTACATATAGGGAAGACACTAGAGGATCCAGTTTTTTTCCGGAGGTACTTAGAAATTATCAAGTGGGGAAACACAAAACTTCTACAAACTGATTAAATTTATAAACAAGATTCCTATAAAAAGAGGGTTTATATCTGACATATTCATCAGTCATTCAGAAGTGATTTATCAAGATCATATAGTATTCAGATATTTTTAGGAGACAATTAATCATTATCAAGAAGGAAAAACATATAACTTCTTTAGATTGAATGAAATTCAGAATCGAGGTCCATATAAAAAGGCTTCGTTCATTAACAGATCTAATCAAGCTTCCGAAATTGATGTTTCAAAATTCATTCAAGATTCGAGTGTATTAAAAAGGTACTCAAGAACCTTTACATCAAAATTTTTGAAGACCTAAAGATAACATGAGTGTTTCCATTATTCAGCCAATTAGGGGTATTTCAAACATTTTAATTTCTAATGGCTTCTTAGTAACTTCATCCAATAAGAGTAAAATAATAGTTTGCATTATTCTGTATTTATATCGCATTATCATGACTTCGAGTCAAATCATACTAATCGATCTCTACCCTGTAAAACTTGTTAATAAACCATACTGATATACTTCATGAATAATCACTTATTAATATTGATTACACTGGTTGAACTGGTCACTTCTAGAATCACCACTGAACGAAATTAGAGGAGATGATCAGGAATTCAATGATATTATATTTTTCTATGATGTATCAGTATCAAGAATACCCAATATACTTGAGTTATGCTCCATAACCTTTAGGGATGATACAACATAAGTTATTGGTGTTTCTAGAATTTATCCAAAGATACTAACTTATTCCAAGTCGTTGGGATATTTAGGTCACTTCAACAATCGAGATTACTTCAGTCATCTTGAAGTTCAAGGTATTTTAATTCTTTTGGGGTTTAGGGGTATTTTATTCATTTAAATATCAGAGGTTGTTTTAGTTATTTCGCAGTTCAATGACATTTCGGTAATTCCTTTCAATTCAAACATATGCATTTTTTCTGATAATTGGCCAAGTATGTCATTTTCCTCCGTCCAGTCTTTTCATTTAATTCAATTTTGTTTAATAATTCAACATGAATGGTACTTTCAATATTTTAGTCTTTAGTGCTTGTTGATAATAAACAATTATGGTCTTATACCTTCTCAAATGTTAGGATTTGATTATCAGTGACTATCCGAGTAAATCGAAACTTTAACAGATGAAATAATAATTTGTTGGATTAAAAATGAATTCTCAGGGTACTTCCACTATCAGGGCCAGTTCAGACCATTTTCAGCTCACAGGGGTAATTTTGTAATCTCTTAACCAGATGATTCCAATATTAAAACTTTTAATGAAGATAATTAAAATTTAATGATTCTGAGGTTGATTGCTTTATCGGTTAATCATTGAACCTGAAATTATTTCTTATCAGTCTTCTAGTGTCTTTTGCGTGAAATATGATTCGTATCCAGTTTAATTACTTTTCATCACATTTGGATCGAGTTTAGAAATATATTAATTACACACATGTATCGAAACATATTCATCTATGCATTAACAATTGCCAACATGCTCCATAAAGTATACATAAGGTAGTAATGTATTACCTCGATTTATGAGCCATATTGATCAACCATTTAAACTCTATTTGATCGCCCTCAAACTTTAATTCAACATCCCATAATGTCTGAGATACATAGCAAACAATTTACGTTAGAAATTGAACTTAATCGAAAAACCAAATTGAATTCGAATATAAAACACTGAAAATGACTTACTGAGTGCGAATTTGGTAAAACAGACTTCGGATTTGGACTCAGGATGTCGAAAAAGATAAAATATAATTTTTCAGAAAATTTAACTTTTTGGTCAAAGTCAACGGGTTGACTTGGACGAGTTGACTCAAATGAGTTGACTAGGATGAGTTAACACAAACGAGTTGACTCGATCATGTCAAACAGACCCGGTTCAAACATCAGCACAAAACCATGCCAAAACTGAAAGAAAATTAACCAACTATAAACCTGAGCTTACCCCTAAAGACAGTCGACGACGACGCAGCGATGGAGGCGTCGCTCACCTTGGTTTTGTTCACAAGTTGCCAATGAAGTCGATGGTGGTGGCGGTGTGCTGCAACAATT